TCACCACAGTTTAACGTACACTCTGATGATGATAAGGATGTCGTTCCCATAAATACAACACCAGGTGAACTTCATGTACATATGTATGGGGTTGATTATGATGCAATGTACGAGCATGAATTTCCAGATCTCCCTAATATTGGCAACCATGGACTTCAGTCACCAATTAATGACGATGATTTATATATTGGAATAGAGTTTGCATCGAAAGAGGAAGCAATGATGGGAATAAAGAGTTACAATTTTCATAACTCAGTTCACTCCCTAGTTGATCGATCTACCACGGAGAAATATGTTTGCTACTATGTCCAACGTTATAATGGATGTAAGTGGATGGTTCGTGTATCAAAGAGGAAGATGAAGAACAACTTATGGGAACTAACCAGATACAACGGTCCTTATATGTGTTATGCAAGAGGTATAAACCAGGATCATCCCAACTTGGACTCCAACATTATTTGCCAAGCAATAATGCCCATTGTGAAGCAAAGCTCTCATATAGCTGTTGCAGTGTTAATTTCTACTATACAATCATAATATGGGTACACCGTCTCCTATAAAAAAGCTTGGTTGGCAAAAAAAATGTCATTGTCAAACTTCATGGTGAATGGGATTCCTCTTACAACGAGCTGCCCAGTTGGTTTCATGTTATGCAGAGACTTAATCCCGAGATAATTTTTGAGTTCGAAACTCAACATCATTACGTGAATGATCGAGTGGTTCGCGATCGCTGCCAATTCTACCGTGTCTTTTGGACTTACCCTCAGTGTATTAATGCAGTGAAGTACTCTAAACCATTTGTCTAAATTGATGGTACTTTCTTGTATGGGAAATACAAGCAAGTTTTATTATTAGTTATGGTCCAAGATGATAACCACAATATTCTTCCTGTTGTGTTTGCCCTCGTTCAAGGAGAAGACACTGAGTCTTGGGTTTTTTTCCTTAAAAATTTACGTTTACATGTTGTCACAAGGGAACACGTATGCATTATTTCAGACCGAGGAGCCGGGATAAAAGAAACAATGGACTCTTTGGGTCCAATGTGGAAACCTCCACATGTTCAACATCGTTATTGTGTCCGTCATATTGCTGCAAACTATTATGGAAAATACAAGAAGAATGATGAACGTCAGTTAATCGTGTGCATGGGTATGCTACTTTTTCCCAATTTTTCAATCATTTATGTATTACTTATTTATACTTCATATTAACTATTACATATTCCTAATGGCTTAGGTTATGAACTCTTACCTCAAAGGTTTGAGTCTATGTTACAAGAATTGTTTGGCAAAAATAAAAAGGGATGCGAGTACATTATGGATATCAGCAAAGAAATGTGGATAAATGCGTATGACGGGGGGTATCGTTATGGTCATATGACAACCAACTTGGCTAAAGCAATCAATTAAACCTTAAAAGGGGTGCGTCAAATGACTTATTTTCGTTTGGGTCAACTATTTGCAAAGCTCAGTGGACAAGCTCTTACTTGGATGCAGAACGAGCATATTTACCACCCAAGACTAGTAGCTGATTTACAGAAAAAAGTGGTTGCATCAAATGGGATGTTGGTTATAAATTTTTCTCGCACCCATGAATTATTTCGTGTAATCGAAATGACACGTCCTCTTCAAGGGATTGAAGCTAACTCTTTCAGAGTTAATCTGCAAGAAAGGTGGTGTGATTGTGGTTTCTTTCAAGCACTCAAATATCCATGCTCTCATGTCATTGTTGCTTGCTCACATTTGCATTTGGGCTACAAAAATTATGTTGATCCTGTATATCAACTTTCACAAGTATTCAAGGTATATGAATTTGAGTTTCCGCCCATATGTAACGAAAGAGACCCAGATGAGATTCAAACTTGTCTTACAATTGTACAAGATCCGTTGCTATTGAGGGATTCGGGTCATCCAAAATCCACTAGAATACATTGTGATATGGATATTCGGGAGAAGTCAACAGAACAAAAAAGATGTGGGCATTGCAAAAACATCGGGCACAATAGAAAAAAATGTCCAGCTCTATTATCATCACATAACCATTAACCCTTATGTAATTGCATTTTCTATTTCAATGAATGTTTTTGTTTCTAATATTTAAATGTAATTGCATTTTCTATAATTTCTCAATGTATGCACACCTAAATAAATTATATATTTTTTAAAATTAGTATTTAAAAATTATTTTATGATATTTGGTTAATATTATATAAATTATTTGTTATTGGTAATTTTTTAAAATGATTAATTATAATTATTGAATATAATAATTAATATTATTTATTATAAAAAATTATTATTAATTTTAAAATATTATAATAATTCCACCTTCTAATTAGAGAAAAAATATTAAATTAAACAAATTAAAAGTAAGAAAAAAACTTTATATATACGATGACACATATCATGTTTTGATTGGACGATTAAATTTATTAAATTAAATTAAAATTAAGACTAAATTGATAAAATAGGTAAGTATTGAATATTAAATGTTTAATTATACTAATTTTATTAACTGATGTATCAATATTTTCGTTAAATATTGACAGCAGATGACTTAATTGATAACATTTAAATAATTAAGTAATTTAATTGATAAAATTAATAGATTGATAATCAAAATAGAAAAAATAATAGATAAATAACCATACATGTAATATTATAATTTCATACGTTTTCCTAGAACTATAATACGATCAAAGCTGGTTTTCATCTATTGTTCCATTGTCCGAGAGTCGGGCACCGTATAGTTCCATCCGATTAATGTCGCGTGGAGTGGGTGAATGCCAAAGTCCTTGAAACATATAACACTTTAACTTAAATTCACTACACCTTTAACACACACTTAAAAAATACCTTCGATAATTTTTAAATTATAACCGAAACACTTTACATAATAAATTACTAATTTATAATAACAATAAACATTAAATCTTTATTAAAAACAAAAATCAGTGTGGCATCCACCTCAACAAAACCCCGTGAAAGCGTGTCCCCAAGGACGCCTTATCCGCATGGCATTCCAGTCAGCTAAAACCCAAGTAAAGCGTGTCCCCTGGATGCGTCTTTGTGCCACCTCAGCCGAAAAGGTGTTACATCGAGAAATATTGGTCAAACATTACTAAATCGAGCCTATTACGTTGAAACAATGTTAGTTGGGTCAAATCGCCCAAAGTCTTAGCCACTGAGCTAAGAAAGCTCTGTTATTAAATCACCACAACGTATATTTAATTTATACTCTATGACCACTACAAAACAAAATATTTTAATTAAAATAAGGACTAAAACTTAGGACTTCTCGTTAGGAAAAATTAGTGTTCAAACCATTAAGATAGTCTCTAAAATTAGTTATGTAAGATTAATTTTATATTTAATTTATATAATGTTTTAATTAAAGAGTGAATTATTTAAAAGTATAAATTTTTTTAGTATAAACTATATAAAAATATTAAATCATTAAAATTAAATCAAATTTTGAACTTAATAAATCCTCTATTAATTTAATATTAATTAAATAAATATAAATTTTAAATTATTTATGATAAAAATATTTTTTATATTTATTTAATTTTAAACTTATATTATATCATAAATAAATATTTTAAATTTAATTTTAAAAATAATTTAATATTAGCTTTCTAAAAATATATATTTAATTATTTTTATTCCAAAATAAAGTTAAAATAATTTAACTTTTAATTAAGTAATTTGATTTATAATGGGAATTTTTTTATATTTTAAATAATTTAATAATTTATTCTTTAATTATACAATTATATAAATTAAATATAAAATTGATGATATATGACTAATTTCTTGGACTAACTTAATGGTTAGACACTAATTTTTTTGGGGAGTCCTAGGTTTGAGTCCTAATTTTAATTAAAATATCCTTTTTTGTGTTGGTAATGGAATATAAATTAAATATACTTGGCGGTGGTTTAGTAACAATTAGCTCGTTTGCCCCAATGGCTAAGCCTTTGCTCCTACGTCCAGGAGGGTGTGGGTTCATTATATTGTTTATGCACAATTTTGTTGGTTTTATCTCATATGGTGGTGACATGTATCATCATCCTATTGATTAAATAAAAATAATAAAAACTTATTTGACTATTGATGTGAAAGTTTTAAAAATATTATAAAATTATCACATCAATTTTGTTGTTAAATTTTTAACAACAAAGTATTAAAATAAAACAAAAATTAAATTTAGGTATAATTTTAAAAAAATATTTAAGTTTAGATATTAAAACAGACCAAAACTAATAGTTTAAGTATTAAATACGTAGTTTATCCTTTATTTTATTTGGTTCAAATTTATCATTCTCTTCCTCTTCTTTTTTATGTTTTGTTAGATTTAAAAAAAAAAAAATTAAATGTCAAGTCAGACTTTTGGGTAACGGGAGTTAACGAACCGAGCGACCAAAGTATATTATATTGATAATGTAAGGGATCAAACCTAATTCTTTTCTGAATCGATTACCAAAATCAAATGGACAAAAAATATAAAGGACCAGTTGTATAGTTTACCTAAATATATAATTTAATTATATTCTAATTAAAATCTAAACTACATAATAATAATAGATTAATTATAGCTAGATCATTATAATTTTTTATATTTATTTAATAAAATTAATTTAATTAATAATGTGTATCAATTTATCATATTAATGATGCGTTTTATTTATTACATTAATAATATATTTTGATGCGCGACGCGTATTTTAGACTATTTTTGCAAATATGTTCATTTATTTTTTAAAAATTTCGAGGTTGTAGATTTATAGGATCATTAATGGCATAGAAGCATCGAAAGTTAAGATGGGGAGCGCGCTTTGCAATCAAATCCAAAAGCTAAAGGTCAAATGTATCCGTTAAACATTTATTAAAGTCAGTTTATTATTTTCGAATTTCGAAAATTCAAAACCCCTTTCATCTTCCCCCCATAAATTCCTCACTTACCATTCCTAAATCTCAAATCTCAATCACCATCTTCATCTGCGAATTCAACCCTTTTCTTCCATTTCCGTACAAAAATGGGTGCCTCTGGAAAATGGTTCTCTTCACTTTTAAATTTTAAATCGCTCACACATCCCTCTAATCAAGTAATTTCCCTCAACCCATTTTCTAGTTTCATTTTTTTTCCCGATTGGTTTTCATTTATTTATTTATTTATTTATTATTGGGTTTGTAGGGGAAGGTGGGAGGTAAGACAAAGAAGAAATGGAGGTTGTGGAGAAGCTCATCGGAAGGGTTGGGATCCTCCTCATCCAAGGGTCTCAAGTTGCGTCACGTGGCTGCTTCAGAGGCCTCCGATTCATCTTTGATGGTGGATGATGTGCTCGCTTCAGCTATGGCTACCATTGCTCGTGCTCAACCCAAAGATTTCAGAGCCGTAAAGCGAGAATGGGCCGCCGTTCGTATTCAGACTGCATTTCGAGCCCTGTTGGTATAACCCTCTTACTTTCTTAAGATCCGTTGGCTTCAATTATCATTTTATTCTATTCAGCATTCACTCTGCTAGTACTGTTACTGATGCAACATACATGGAAAGTTTGATTCGATTTAATTGTAAATAGGAGAGAACTTTTGGTGGAAATATTGGTAAACTGAGTTGTGAAAGTCTTTTAGGAAGAATTAGTTAATCTTTCGGTAATAGGCAATGTTTATCGTATCATGTTAACCAGTGCTCCAACATTGAATTTGATGTAAACTTGAGTTCATTTTGGTGAAAATTTGTTCATCTTTTGTTTCTCTTTTTCATGGTGGAGATTATAGTTTATTTAATAACATAATGAAATGCTATCAGGCAAGAAGAGCTCTAAGGGCCTTGAAAGCAGTAGTAAGGATTCAAGCTATATTCCGAGGCCGTCAAGTCCGAAAGCAAGCTGCTGTGACATTAAGGTGTATGCAGGCTTTGGTTCGAGTCCAAGCTCGAGTGAGAGCACAATGTGCTATACCGTGTGAAGGACAATCTATGCCTAATGAATACCGCAGAGATGCTGATCCAGCCAAACTAGCTGAGGTTAAACATAATCTATCATGCTTGCATATACAATTTTACTCTCTATTTGTGTAATAACAATATGCTGGCTGATAACAATTTTCAGGAAGGATGGTGCGACAGCACCAGAAGTTTAGAAGAATTAAGAGTGAAACAGCAAATGAGGCATGAAGGTGCAACAAAGAGGGAGAGAGCAATAGCATACTCTGTCTTAAACCAGGTAACATAGCTTCAAAGCCTCGGCACTTTTCGAATTTGCTTCGGTTAGGGCGAATTTTCATCTGTGATGAATATTTAATGATTTCTGCAGCATTCAAGATCATGTGCGAGTCCGAATGGGAGGGTGACTGGCAAGAATCAAAGGCTAGACCGGAATAGCCCCAATTGGAATTGGCTTGATCGTTGGATGGCAACCAAGCCTTGGGAAACCAGGACAGTGGATGATAACAATTTTAGTTTTCACTCCGGCTGTTTTGAACACGAGTCCCTGAAGGTGAAAAGGAACAGTGTTACAACCAGAATTCTTGTTAGGCCTCCTGCGTCCATTCATACATCGGGTTCACTGTCAGCCCCGAGTTCGGGGTCCTTCTATGACGAGAGGTCAACATCTACCTCATCTGCGTCGGTATCTCCAACTACATTGTCTAGCAACACTCCGGTTGCAGGCACATTACAAGATAATCATACTAAAAAACCAAGCTACATGAACCCCACAGAGTCTATCAAAGCTAAACAGAAGACGTTCAGCCTTTCTCCGGATATGCGGAGGAGACATGTGTTTGATGATGATCTACAATGTTTTCACAAGAAATTGATGACACTTTCTTGCGAGGACGACACGAGAAGCAGTGCTGATTCAAATCCATCGCTAAATTTCTCAAGAGAGTTGCGGGGGACAAGACATATGGGTAGACAAGAAGATTGCCAGAGGAATCAATGGCGTGGAAGAAGACGACAAGGAAATTCTTTTATGTAATATATATATGTGTATCCTGCAAATGACTTTTTTGCAGTGTTATGTAACTGAAACAAGTTCAAGAAAAGCCTTTAATGTTATAAACAGGGTTGGTTGAAGTAATACATAGCTTGATATCGTTTAAGCAAACCTCGAGTCTAAAGTTGTGTATAAGCAAAAAATTCTTGTCAGGAGACTCAACAAAACTAAGTATACTTTGTGAGTCAATTCGGATTAATCAGGATAAAACCCTGAAACGGGAGTACAACTAGAAAAAGAAAAATCTTCAATGTCGGATTTCTGCCATTGATTGGCAAAACCAATTCAACACTTTTCTTTAGCTCCAAAAACCCACCAACTCCATGCAATGTCGATAAAACCTTAAAATGTGTGTATGCAATGAGCAAAACCAAACGACTTTACTGAAAGAGCAATGAATCACAAAAAGTTTGACAAACTCAACTGACTTTAATTTTATTGCCGGTTGTTGTCAATTTTATTTTTGCTCATCAAATTTATAGCTTGTAACACCCCAACCCGTATCCAACCCGGATACGAATCTGAGGTGTTACATTGACTTTTCAAATCATTTACTTTTACTAGATAACTGAAAACTTAATTTTCAAGTTTAAAATAAAACCAAATAATTTATATTAAATACAATCATATGTTTTTACAAAACCTATCAAAGCATATATGATTCAAATCTTTAATTACATGCCAACTACATTCTGTAAAACAAAGTACATACGATTCAATTCTGACCCTCGACTCTGGCATGCCAATTATACCCTCATCTCTCATATCACATACTATGGAGTTTACCATTTATATTATTGGTTATATCTTATTTCACAGATACAAATAATCACGTAGGTTATGACACGTAGGTTATGACACATAGCTTATATCTTATGTTCATGTAATCACGTAAATCTTATCACATAGCTTATTTCTTGTTCTCATATGTTCACATAGATCATATATCCCATAGAATAACATGTATTACATAGCTTATGTATAACAATGCATATAACATATAAACTTATGCATGTACTCATGTACCCATTTTCATATAGTCTCTTAGATCAATGCCATATAGCTTATTTTACAGTTTCACCTAATCACTTATGTTATATCACATCACTTATATCATAGTTTCATATATTTACTTAGTTCAGTTTTACCTAGCTTGTCACAAGTTTCCCCTACTCATCCATATAATCATATACCATAGTAATATGCACTCACCTTGGCCTCACCAGTCAAAGCAACACTTATAACTTTTATCTCGTTGACTCATCTGGTACTTGCTTTCGTTCGATATCTACAAAAATACATATAATCGATATGAATGTCTTAATTCGAATAACTTATAATCAATTCTTATTATCATAAGCTAACCAAAGCATCCATATGAATAGTATCGGTATCCAAAGTACAGTACCGATACTTCCTTACTGTGGTATCAATACTGTTGAACTATATTTTGATATAACAATTAAGGCAAAATATTTTTGGACTTGAATTGAATTTATTCAAAGTTTTTCAAAGTTTTCAAAAATAATTCAAAGTCCTTAAAGCTTGAAATTGAGCATAAAATGTTTTTTCTGGATAAGTAGTATCGATAATGATTTTACATTATCGATACCAAATGAACAATACCAATACTGTTCTTATGGTACCGATACCAAAGGTAAGGAAAGTATCGATACTCACTAGGTAGTACCGATACTACCAGCATTGCTCAAATTCCAGAATGCAAAAATGGTACCGATACCCAAAGGGGTACCGATACCCAAAGGGGTACCGATACTACTCTGTATAGTAGTATCGACACCATAGGCACAGTATCGATACCATTAGGCCTCAACGACTAGTAACAGCAGTTGATTTAAATATAACAAAAGGTAGTACCGATACTCCCTTTAGGAGTACCGATACCCTATGTTCTGGGCATCTTTATTTTGCACGAAAATTGATCCCCAATGGCTCCAAAATAGCTCCAACGGCTAAAAATGGCCACAACAACATTCCAACATATAAAATACAAGTTGTGGTCACTTGAAGAAGATTTAGAACACATATCCAAGCAATCAAACATAAGAGAAGAGTTTTCCAATCTATTTTTTATCTCTATTGTAAATATTTGTTCTTGTGAGCTAAATTCTTGTAAACATCTTCCTTTTTAGATGTTTTATTTGTTTACATTCTTTTTCCTTGTAAAGGGTTTTTGGTTCTAGTTGAGTTTGTTTAAAGATAGGGAGTGTTGTAAAGGTTATCTCTTTATCCTTGAAAAAAAAACAAATTAGTGAATTTGTTAGAAAATTCTTAGTGAGGAGCTAAGGTAGTGGATGTAGACTTGGTTGATAAGTCGAACCACTATAAATCATTGTGTTCGTTGTCTTATATTTTTCTCTCCTTACTCCCTAAACACATTTTTATCAATTAACACCCTTTTCACATTTTCGGTTGTTCAATTGAGCCTCTTCATAATCCTAACAAATACTACACTTCAGTATCGATACCCTCTAGACATTCTGGAATTCGAATCTAAAAATGGTATCGATACTTAAACATTGATATCGATACCCCTGATATCGATACTACTAATTCGGTATCAATACTGTTTGAAGGATTTATCCATTTTTACCTTATGGTATCGATACTGTTCATCCAGTATCGATACCCATACCCAATATCACCTATATTTACTTTGGAGTATCGTATTATTCATCCAGTACTGATACCCCTTGCCCAGAATTTATTCATTTAACCCGAAAATTTCCAAAACTTTGCTAACTTCCTCACTTTACTCTTCTTTAAAGCCTTTAAACTCAACTACACTTACTCAAATCAACTTATATCATTGGATGGACATTCTGTAGTTGACGTGTTCCAGTGTGTTGATTGAGTTCCTGTATCACTGTTTGACCACAGCTACTAGTACCACCAGGTACTCCTGATATTTCAGTAGTGACTGCCTCATCAGAATGTTCTTCCTTATTATTCGGTTGGTCCGAATGCTGATTAACATGGCCACTACCATTAACATGCTTCTACACTGCCCTCATAGGCTCATAGCCTTGGGACTCACCCCTCAGGGTTCCATGAAGATCCATACTTCTGCCACCTTGCATGTTTGCAAGCTGCTTGACATTTGAGACGATTTCAAACTTCTGAGGGTAACACATGTTTTTATTAGAACGATTCGAGATACTATTTCTTTCTTCAAAGGGAAATACTCATTCGTTGAACACCACATGCCTCGATATATAAACTCGACCATTACGAGCTAAGCATTGATATCCTTTCTGTTGTGGGCTAATACCCGAATATGTGTAAGGTTGTGATAAAAAATCCAGCTTGTGTTTCTGAAATGGTTGAAGATAGGGAAAACAAAGACACCCAAAAACTTTAAGTGTTTTGTAGTCTGATTGCTTTCCATACAACTTCTCATAAGGAGAAAGTCCTTGCAACACTTTTGTTGGCAGTTTGTTAATGAGGATAACTGCGGTAACAATGTAATAAGACTAAAATTGTATGGGCATCGAGGCTTGAGATAAGAGAACACGTGTCAATTCAACTAGATGTCGATGTCTTCGCTCAACCATACCATTTTGCTCAGATGTATGAGGGCATGTCAATCGATGAACAATGCCAGATTTGGCCAAAACAACAGTAAAGGTTCAAAACTCCCCACCCCAGTCACTTTTGACTGCTTTGATAGAAAGTCCAAACTGTGTGTGCACCATTTTCTAAAATAGCTGAAAAGCTACAATGGCTTGAGACTTTGTGCGAAGCAAATAAAGCCATGTGTGCCAAGAAAAAACATCAACAAACGATATGTAATATCGAAAACCATTTGATAAAACATGAGGAGGTCTCCATAAATCAGCGTGAACAAGCGAAAATGGATAATTGTATTTAGTAGTGGATTGAACAAATGGTAGTTTGTGACTCTTGCCTATATGAGAGGCAGAACAAACTTTGTTTACATCAAAGGAAAGCTTTACATCAACAAGTTTTGCTATTTTATTCAAAGTTTCAAAAGAAGGATAATCCAATCGCCTATCCATAAATCATCAACTGGCAAAGACTTCAAAGCAATATTGACATCTCCCTTCACTGCTGCATAGTTTTTCACAAAGAAATATAAGCCATCTGTTTCTTCACCACTCAACAAGACTTGTCCAGTTGCCTCATCACGCATATAACATTTCTTGGCATGGAACTCAAGGAAAACACTATTATCCCTAGCAAGCTTAGAGATCGAGATAAGGTTTTTGGTTATTTGAGGGACATGTAACAAGTCATTTAGTAATAGCACACGAGAAGCAGAAGGCATAACTGATTTGCCAACCTTATCAATATCAAGTGATACTCCATTACCTACAATAAGCTTACCTGGTCCACGAAATTCAGATTGACTCATCATATTAGACGCATCAGGGGTGATATGATGTGTGGCCCCCGAGTCCACCACCCATCGATCAGCAGCTATAGTAACCACATTTGCCTATGGCTAAGTATTAGAAGAAGTATCCAAACATCCTTTACAACAACATTCACAACTTTGACTTCCTTTTCTAGAAGTATAACACATATTCACTGGACCTTCTTTGGATGAACCATAACTGTCAGTTGTCACACAGGTGAATTCTTCATCATATCGATGTTAGCATTGGTCAACTAGGTGGCCAAGTTTGCCACAGAGCTGACACTGCAACCTAGTTCACCCACGCTCCTTCCACTATTCCTCATACCAGATCCATTAGCAGAACGGTTTAACTTGGAATTTTAAGGATTGAAAGCATTATAAGACCCACGACCCATACTACCATGAGCAAGATTTGCACTGATAGGCAGTAGATCAATTTGTTCATCAAATCCAGCCAATTGTGACTCAGCATCCATTAGCATTGTGTAAATGCTATCTAGTGACAATGGTTTTTTTTTATGGTTGTTATAACTTCCATGAATGGCTGGTATTCACGTGGAAAACCTTTCAAGATTGTAACAATATGCTCAACATGGGAAATAACACTCCCACAAGAAGCAAGTGCATCACACACCTCTTTCA